GCCCAAGCCCGGGGGTGCCTGATCCCCCCTGAGCCCAGGCCCAAGCCCGGGGGTGCCTGATCCCCCCTGAGCCCAGGCCCAAGCCCGGGGGTGCCAGCCCCCCATCCACACACCCAAGCCTGGCAGTGCCAGGCCCTGCCCTCCCATGGGAACAGGGTAGAGTCCTCTCCTGTGGAGCCTGGGAGCGGGCGGGAACAGGGGTGGACGGCAGGCCCCACGGCTCAGGCAAGGGGTCCCCGCAAGCAGTGGTGTGGGCAGCAGCACCAGGCTTCCACCCCCCGGAAGCTGTAGCAGCTCCCAGACAGCACGGAGTACCGGGGGCCGGGGTCTGCAGAACTGCCAGGCAGAGCCCCTGCTTCGGCGTGTACAGTCAGCAAGGAGCCACTCTAAGGTAGGAGACCCATCCTGACCCAGAGGTGAGCCTCCTGGACTCGGGGGCTCCTAGAAGAGCCCTTGACGCTTGGGTCTCAGTAAGACTAGGAGAAGCGTGCCCCATGAAGCGCAAAGGCCGGAAGCTGGGACTGGCCGGTGCATTCAGAGGCCATGTGAGCGTGGGACAGGGTCAGGGAAGGGGAATGGACACGGCGGGGGTGCAGCAGAGGCCTGGGGAGGGGCTCTGCTGGGCCCATCCTAGCTCCAGGGGGAGGCCTGGGAACAGGAACACTGACCGGGTCCCCCAGGGTGGAGCTGGCTGAGCACCAACATCACCATGTGCCGTTGGCTGAGGGCTGAACGGCTGCGGGGCCAGGCCCCAGGCGCAGCCAAGCCGGGCCCGGCTGCACCGCCAGACACCGACAGGGCGCCCCCTGCAGGTGTACCACCTGCCCTACTATGAGGCCTGTGTGCGGGACACGTGCGGGTGTGACACGGGGGGCGACTGCGAGTGTCTGTGCGATGCGGTGGCCGCCTACGCCAAGGCCTGCCTGGACAAGGGCGTGTGCGTGGACTGGAGGACCCCGAGCTTCTGCCGTGAGTGCCCGCCCCTCCCCACGCCTGCCCGGCCCAGAGACCTGCCATGGGAACCGGGAACCCCTCCCTAGGCAGGCGCCGGACCACCTGCAGGGCTGCGTAGAGCTGCCAGCCTCTGCCCCCGTCCTCAGAGCCTCCTCCGCCGGGCTGCCGGGCCGCCGGGCCGCCGCGCCTGGGCTCAGGACTGGCTGCCCTGACCACACCTCCCCTCACAGCCATCTACTGCGACTTCTACAACACGCACAAGCACGTCGGCAATGAGTACCAGTACACACCGACAGCCAACTGCACGTGGCACTACCAGCCCTGCCTGTGCCCCGGCCGTCTGGAGAGCTTCCCGGACACCAACGTCGAAGGTACCAGGCCCAGGGACTGACGTCCTGTCACCCACACACAGTCATTCACCCAAATATCCACTGGTTCACCTACGCTTCCAATCACCAACGCATTTATCCACTCGCACAGCTCCTCATTTGCACTTCACATTCACTCCCTCACCTCCACATCAGGACACACTCACACACACATTTTCACCAGCACATCCATCCATTCGTCCACACGCTCATTCACAAAGGCACTCACCTGCACACACCAGCAAACGCGTCCTCAGGGCCAGCCGCAGCTCTGGGCTGGGACATGGCCCCACAAAACAGTCCTGCAGGAGCTTCTCTCCTGGCCAGGGAGAGATTCTGGAAAACCAAAATAAGGAGGCAAAAATCTGTGGGATGACGCACATGCTCCAATAGAAAGATGGGTGCCCGGCTGCCACGGCTGGCCGGACCGTGCAGGACGTGATTCCGGACAGGGAGGGTCAGGTTCGCGTGTGGCTGAGAGCCAGGCCCGGTCTGAGGAGAGCTGGGAGGGCTGGGTCCACAGCCGCCAAGGGCCACAAGCATTGCCGGCCACACAGGAGGCGGCCCGGGGCCCAACAAGGAGTTTCAGAGACCGGAGGGAAGAGGGGAATGAGGGGCTGGCAGAAGGGGTGGCCAGGACAGGGGTGCTGAGCCCTGCCCTGCTCTGCCCCAGGCTGCTATAACTGCTCCCAGGACGAGTACTTCAACCACCAGGAGGGGATCTGTGTGCCGTGCAGTAAGTCCAGGCTCCGCCTGAGGTTGTCCTTGGGCCACATGTGCGGGGTGCCTGTGTGCGGGGATGGAGTCTGGCCCGTGTGTGCACGGGGAGTGGTGTCTGCAGTTCAGCCCTCCACTGTGGGTCCTGAGCCACGGCCCTGCCAGTGGGGAAAAGCTGACTCAGCTTTAGGATGGCTCGTGGACGGGGAGGTGGAGGGCTGGGGAGGGGGGTGGGAAGGTGGAGGGGAGGACAGGGGAGGGGGGAAGGAGCGGGGAGGGCAGCGGTCCCTGACGGCCCCTTTCTCTTGCAGCGCTGCTGCCCACCACACCACCAACCACCTCAGGTGATTGCGGCCATTGGGTGCCATGGGGTCCCTGGCTTTCTTCCTGGCTCTGGACAAGGATACATACGTGTACACACACACACACACACACACACACACACACATGCCTCAGCCTTGGTTCCAGGAATGGACAGGAAACACACGCTAGTCTGGGGTGAGAGGGGACGGGCCTGTGGCACGTAGCTCCTGGCTGGTCACCGACCCTGACCACTCTGCCTTGGCTGGACCTGCCACTGGGCACAAAGCTGGGCCTCTGCAGGCGAGTCCTCCAGAAGGCCCCTGAGGAGGCTCTGGAAGGACCACAGCCAGGGGCTGCGGGGAGAAAGGGCCTCTGCCCACAGCACCGGGTCGAGCTCTGCTCACCCTGAGGCCACAACTGCTCTCCACAGGCCCACAGCCCACGGAGGTCCTGCCCACCACCCCCGGGGTCAGCTCGGGCCCCCCAGCTCTGCCCACAGGCCCCGTGCAGACCGCAAGCCCGGCCACCGCACCCTCCACTCCACCCTCCTCCCCTTCCTCCCCGGAGGGAGGGACAACTGTGACCACACCCAGGAAATCCACCGTGTCCTCTGGAGGTAAGAGCAGCTCCCGGTGCCCAGGAGCCTCTGCCTTCCCAATGAGCAGACGCTCAGCACACGTTCTCTAGGCTAGAGCTACGCAGCTTCTGAAAACTGCTTACAACTCAAACTGGCCGCTCGCCGTGGCTGTTGCAGGCTGTCTGAACGATGCCAGGCACGCACAGCAGCCCAATCTGCCCACACACAGCAGCAGCAAAGCCCTCTGCTGCCCGGGACTGCGTGGGGGGGGGGGGGACACGGGTAGCCATGGGAAGGCTGATGACCCACACCAGCCTGCACTCCCCACCCGTGCCACAAGGCCAGCTCAGCCAGATGACTCTTCAGGACCTAAGAGCCAGGCAGGAAAGGCAAAGGCTGCTGCTCCGAGGAGGAGGAACAGAAACTGGCAGGAGATCTTGGGGTCATGGGCCTGGGGAAGCCACGGGGGATGGAGATGTCCTCTCATCCTCCCCAGACTCATCACACACCACCATGGCGGTATCTGCTCTGTCAACGTCGCCTGGGACCCCGACTGCCACGGCAAGCGCCACGGTCACGGGGCTCACGGTGACCCAGGCCACTTCTGAGCCCACAGCATCCTCCCCCAGCCCGGCCACCACGTCCACAGCTCAGTACACAGCACGCACCACCGAGGGACCGCCAACGTCAGCGGGGCCTGCCGTGTCTCCTAGCCACAGTGAGTCACAGCCCACAGGTGCCGTGGCCCAGACCCCTGGCCCGGCTCCCAGCCCAACAAGCAGGAGAGCAGGAACAAGACCCTGGGGGCCCACGGGGAAGTCGGATGCCAAGCCCACAAGCACATAGGTCATGGGTGGGGGCACCCACTGGGCCATGGTCAGGAAAACAAACTGACAGGATGCAGTCAGGTGAGGCAAGATAGGCTCCCAGGTTACCCTGGTTACAAGAGAGCATATGAAAACACAGAACCAGAGACCATGAAGGCAGGTGCCCCATAACCCCAGGGGAACAGCCATCAGCCCTCAAGCGGAGGAGCACAGAACCACATGTGCGGGACGTCTGAACTCACGCGGCGAACGCTAACAGCTACCACGATCCACAGCCACTACGGCTCAGGAGCAAGGACCAAGCACAGGGACGGGGTACACCAGACCACCGCCGTCCGATCAGATCATCCTCACCACCCAGCAGCACGGCACGGAGTCCACAACACCCCACACCTGGTCCACCCTCACCTCCCACAACTCACAGCCCTCATCAGCCCTGGCTGCCTCCACCCAGGCCCCCCAAGGAACGTCGCCACACCCCACCACCACCCCCCAAACACCGTCCGGCCCCCAAACCCCCTTGCCCTCTCTGTTCCCCAGCTCGACCTCCGCCTCCACTCCTAGTTCACATGAAGCCACCATCACAACCAGTGCACACCTGGGCCCTTCAGCCTCTACCGCCCAAACCACAGCAGTCCTGCCCATTACCACAGTGAAGACCACAGGACCCACACTCACAGCTCAGACCCAGGCCTCGGGCACCACCGCTACCACCCAGTCCCACAGCTCACTCACCCCCAAGACCACCTCGGCCCACCTCCTGTCCCAGCCTTCCACCCTGCATCACCCCACATCCACGGAGAGCCCCACCACTAGAGCAACAGGAAGGCCACCAGCCAACACCGGCTCTGCCTCACCCAGCACACACTCCCCATCCACCACGTCTGTCTCCACCACAGCACACTCCACAGGTCCCCCAACAGCAACTCCCCTGCAGACCACCAGCACCCTCTACACCCCTTCCACACCCCAGACCTCTCTGACCTCTCTGCTCCCAACATCCTCCTCCTCCTCCTCGTTCTCCTCCTCCGGGCCTCCAAGCTCCCACAGGACTATCCCCCCCAGTGTTTCCCCCGCGGTCTCCGGCATCTCTTCGTCAGGGTCCACTGACACCCTCCTTCCCGCCAGCCCCGTGTCGGGCACAGGGCCAGCACCCACAACTCCGCCTCTGACTCCCAGCACGGCGGCTCCCTCCGCGCCCCACAGCTCACTCAGCACAGACAGAACTTCTACGCCCACCCGGGGCCCCCTGTCTTCTCCTGGCAGCCCTGCGCTCAGCCCTCCGCCCTCTTCCCTGACTACTCTGCACCCACACCCGAGCCTGGCCACCTCTCCTCCTCCCGCGAGCTTTCCTCCTTCATCCACGGTTTGGCCCAGGACATCACTCTCTCTTCCCACCCCTACGGTCCCGACCACGCTCCTTGCTTCCTCCACCGCCCCGCCCGCTTCTTCCCCCCCTCCCACCTCTCAGTACGCTCCCACCCCCTCCTCCGTGCCCCCCTCCCCGTCTGTTACCCGGCCCACCGCGCTACCGCCCTCTTCCTCTCCTACGGCAGCCTCCACTGCGCTCAACACCCCCCTCTTGCCTCTGGCCTCTTCGCCTTCCCCCCCTCAGCTGCACGCCTCGCCCACCACCCACGCGCCTCCCGCCTCCACTCCCGACCTGCTCACTAGTGCCAGCGCTCTGTCTACATGGAGGACCACACTCCACATTCCCACATCCTCTGCCTCTGCCTCTCAATCCACCACCGCCCAGGTGACCTCTCTCACCACCCACACCCCCTCCGCGGGCCCCCTGCCGTCCACCCTGGCCACGATCACCTACCCAGGCGCCACAGTCACCAACCTGACGACCAGGCCCCCTGGGGCCACCCAACTGCCTACCTCTATGTTCCCGGCCGGCTCAAGCCCTCCCACTGGAAGTCCTTCCGCATCTACCCCGAAGCCTCCAGCCCCTACCAGCCCCTGGGGCTCCTCAGCCATGACCTCTCCACCCAGGCCATCTGGTGAGTAGTTTGCTCCCTCCCAGGCCTCCAGTGCCCGTCCTCCCCTTCCTGCCCCTCTCTGAATACACCCCTTCCGACCTCCGCCTTCCCCCACCTCCTGGAGCCTTCATGCTGGACAGATTCTTGGCCCTCCCCAGGCCTGTCTGCATCTGACTGGAGCATCTATCCTTCTCCCAAGCAGCCCTCCCTCGTGCAAGCAGGCCCTGCACCCATGCCCTGCCGTCTTGGCTGACACCTACGGCAGCCTCCACCCCGCCCCCGATTGCAGAGCCACAGGGGACAGCCCCAGAAGGCACCTCCTCCGGGTGACCTGCAGGAGGCCAGGGGCAGGAAGCCAGGGCTGCCTTCCATCGGGCGCTGGTTGCCAGCCAGTGCTCACGTCCTCCTGCCCACACACATCCAGGACTCCCCGCAGATGGAGCCCTGCCCATCTGCACACCCCTGGAGACACCCCTCCTTCCCATGGTATCCTGTGGGGTGAGCCCTAGGCCTGCTATGGGCAGCACATGCCCACGCTGATGCACGTGTGGCAGCTGGTCACTGAGCCGGGTGCTCGCAGGCTCTCGGGAGGCCCGGGAAGGGCAGGGCGTAGGACTCCAGGCCCGCTACAGAACAGCCCAAGTGGAGAAGCTAGGCAGGCTTGGGCCAGGAAGGAGTTGGCACAGGCAGGAAGACGCATGGGGCAGAATTCCAGGTTTTGCCCAGGATTTTTTTTAAGCTTTTTAACCCAGTTCCACATTGGTAGTTTTTCTCCTTTATTTTGTTGGTGGTGTTTGTTCATTTTTTGGAAGTCTAGCATCACCCAGATTGGTCTTGAGCTCATGACTCTCTTGCTTCAGTCTCTCAAGTGCTGGTAGCGCAGACGTACGCTGCCAAGCCCAGCTGGCACTGGCAGCTCCAATGCCACCAGGTGCCCCGCCCGTCTCCTGCACACCACCGCCTGTCGTGGGGCGTGCCAGCCCCACGTCCAGAGCCCATGTGCGGGAACAGAAAGGGGAGAAGCCTTGGGCACCCGCAGACTCAAGGCACCTAGTTAACCGGAAGCACAGCTCATCCCCGCTCATGTTCAGGCTCTTTAAGAAAAGTACAAGAATGCCAGGCTTTTGTCCTGGACAAAGCTGTGGTCTGAGCTCTAGGGGGCTGTGCAGGCCAGACATGCTACAAGGCGAGGGGGGAGTCGGGAAGGGCCGCACTGAGCCTGGTCTGCAGGGTCTCACCACAGCCCCCCCCCGCTCTGGTCTAGGGCCCTGTGGCCTGTTGGAGCAGGAGCGGCAGATCACCTACCAGGGGTGCGAGGTGAACGTGACCCTGACTCACTGCGAGGGCCTGTGCTCCTCTTCGGTCAGGTGAGCCACTGGCAGGCGCCCTACCCCCAGCAGGGCCCAGCTGCCCCAGCCACACGCTCCCGGCGCCCCCGGCACCAGCCTGTCTGACCAGGCTGAGTGGCTGGCTCCGTGCCTGGGCCCATGCCACATAGCTGCATCTGTACATGGCTGGCCACACCGAGGGCCCAGCCCGCACGCCTGGTGACAGGGTGCCCCTGCTCTGGGGTGGCCTGTGGAGGGGACGGCATCCTGACCTGACTGGCCTCTGCTCCTTGCCAGCTTCAACACCGACACGCTGCAGGTGGACACCCACTGCAGCTGCTGCTACCCGCTCGGCACCCATGAGAAGCAGCTCCTGCTGCCCTGCCCAGACCCCAGCGCACCAGGCCGGCAGCTCACACTCACCCTACAGGTGTTCAGCGGCTGTGCGTGCCGCCCGTGGAACTGCAGAGACTAAAAAGGCCTTTCCTGTTCTCCTGGGAGTGAAGTCACAGATTAAAAAACAACATGCTTTTTTTTTGGTCAGTTGTGGGTCTTGAACTCTGGGCCTGGGCGCTGTCCCTGCACTCTTCAGCTCAAGGAGAGCACTCTACCATTTGAGCCACAGTACCACTTCCAGTTTTCTGGTGGTTTACTGGAGATAAGAGTCTCACAGACTTTCAGATCTCAGCCTCCTGAGTAGCTAGGATGACAGGCGTGAGCCACCAGGGCCCAGCTTAAAACACCACTGTGACATCTTCTCCGGGTCTATTTAGCAGACCTCTCCCTGGCCATGGCCCGGCCTCAAAGTACCCTTTGACGTGGCTCACCTAAGCACCAGTAAGGAATGGTGAACTGAAGAGCCTGCTCTGACACGCAGGGAGCCATTTCCTGTCTGCACCATCCATCTGCACGTCACACTAGAGTCCCACCCCCTGACAGGAGCCGACTCTCGAGAAGGGGCAGCTCCACCCGGGTCCTCAGGAGATGCAGAATTGCTCAGATGGTGACCCAAGGGTGTGGGCCATGGGCAGGAGACAAGTGGGACTAAAGATAAGGAAAGCACTAAAGCTGGAAGGGAAGAGGGATTTCTAATGAGCCAGAGAGGGGCAGAGGGGGACGAGTACAACAGTAGCACCCAGGAGGGCAGGAAGCTGCTTCCGAGGCGTCTTCAGAGAGGTCTATCACCTGCCAAAAAGCTGATTCCAACTAAAATGATTCTTGTCGGACAAAGGCTGCTCCTTGGGCATTTGGTTACAAATCAAGACCCTCAGGGATCAAATTCCTACACCCATCTGTTCAGGTCAGGCCACCGTAGTTCTACCCCAATCATGCACACTTGCTTAAGTGGCATCACCAGAGTTCTGTTCTACTCCCCAACACACCTGCACAGCAGGACACCGGAATCCTCCAATCACACCCGCACAGAACGGGACGCCAGCACCCCATCACAGCTGCACATCAGACCTGTATGGGTTGGGCCACTAGGAACCTCTATCATACTTGCACAGGTTGGGCCACCAGGTGGCCCAAGGGGCTGAGCAAGACCTGTGTCCCCAGGCTGGCTGGAGTGAGGACACCACCCCTCACCTCGAGGCCCTCCCCCTCAGGACGCTTCAAGTCCATGGTAGAGCGAGCCCACAGTGCTCTGGGGTCCCACCCCCCATCTGTACCCACCGCAGAGGGCTCCCTAGGCAGGGGCCATCCTGCCCAGGTCCAGACCGCTGGGTCCACACGAGGTGAGGGAGCCCTGTGCCTGCTCCTCTTCTAGGCTACAACACAGGCCTTCAAGAGTCAGGACCCCAGAGGAGCCACAGCCCAGCTCTACCGTGGACAGATTAGGCTCAGCCACACCTGAACCCACTAGCAGGAGACAGCCCTGCTCCAACGCTGCTGTGCGTGGAGCGGCAAGTGACAGGACTCAAGGTCCTTGATGCTCAGCTCCCCACAATGCCCACAAGGGACTGAGGGCTATGTACGATGCTCACCGCCCCCCCCCCCCACAAAGACCACACATGGGCATGGATCACACTCCAGAATTTATTTTTCTCTGAGAAGGAGCACACTGGACTGACAGGGGCTCCCGATGCAGAGCAAAGGCTTGTGCTCCAGCAGCCGCCCTTCCTATGTCCCAGACACCACCACCAGGGAGCACTCACAGGCACGTAGCCACACAGGCACGTGGCCATCCACATGGTGGAAAGAGACTCTGTCCGGCCATTGGAGAAAGGACACGGAAGCTTGCTCCCGCCACACAGCCAGACCATCCACCCGCAGCACAAGCCTTGGCAGTTGGGCATCAGACTCTGCGGCCAGACCACGGACTCCACGGGACACAAGGACCAGTACACGAGGTTGTTTGTTCTGAAACCAACACAAAGGCTGTGCGCGTGGGGCTGCCAGGGACGCCCGGAGCTGTCACGAGGCGCTGTGGCCTGAGGCTGGCTGAAGGACCTTATGTGCAGTTGACTGGTGCCCCTGTGAACTAGAGGAACCTGGCAGCTGGGGCACGTGCTCAGAGGAACCTGCCCCTCCCGACGGTGTCCACATGTGGGGGCGGAGTGCAGGGCTTCCCGTGGCTCCCAAGGCCTCTGCCCTGGACTGGGCTCCTGACTGGGCCTGCAGGGCCCACCTAATCTGCGCAAGACCCGTGCTGGGCAGCAGCACACCGGCCAGAGAGCCTCGTACAGCCTCGCACAGCACAGGCCAGCTGCCCTCCTTGTCCCTGGCCTCTTCATTCCCTGACCAACCAGGCCTCCTCCACCCTGCCTCACGCAAGGGTTGGACAGGTGCAGGTCTGCAGCACCCAGGCCTCAACAGGAAAACCACGAGCCAGGAAAATGAAGCACTGTTGGTGGAGTCTCACTCCTTGCACAGCCTTGCTCCGCCACTCCACGCTTGTGACACCCCCCGTCCCAGAACGCACCCATTTAAAACAAAAAGGAGCCAGGTCCACACCCCCCAGCGCCACTGGGAACTCCTTCCCACCATGCTGCAAATCCACAGTTTCAAACAGGTAGAATGAATGTCTCAAATGTCCCTTCAAGAAAAATGGGGCTGTGAAAAGAATGGCCACAGAGGTGAGCACGGCACGTCGCGTTGCCAGCAGTCGATAAAGCAAGTTAAAAATCCTACCCCAGAAACCATCAGGGGCGCTAGAGCAACCCGTGTGAACACGTTTCCCAGCCTGCTATGTCAGCCACACACATCAAGCCATTTGTGTCACGCCCAGCATGGCCAGAGCCCAGAGTCATTGCTACAAGCAGAGAGGGCTGCTCCCAGGGTCTGAGATTAGGTCAGCCGCCCTACAGCAGCACTTCAATAAAATTTCAACAAAATTTCCACTTTCATTCAAACTTCTAATTTCCCTTTTAATGTGTCAGGCCGACCCCCAGGGCTGTCTTGATTCCCAGGTCCAGGCCCCCTCCTCTGACGGGGCAGGCCGGCTGCAGCCCTTCTGGAACCGCGTTCCGCGTCCCATCCACACCCACAGAGCCGTCTGGTGGTGCAGGGCTGCAGACGCCTTGTGCTGTGGGGTTCAGACAAGGGGTGTTTATTTGCAGTACGGTAACGAAGACAAATGGTAGAGACGAAGAGAAACGCACAAACACATGAGCCTGATCTTCCATCCTTGAGGATCAGAACTGTTCCGACAGCAATTCACATAATCTCTGAGACACGGTGTCTTTGCTTGTGCGCAGTGTGAGTCGGTACATCTGAAACAGAGAGCGACCGGTCAGTGGGCACAGGGGGGTGGCAAGCCTCAGCCAGGGCCTTTCAGCCCGGGGTATGCCATACCCAGTGGCTGCGCGAGCTCTCCCCGGCTCCCCCATTCTGGAAGCCGGCTCTCACCGCAGTGGACACAGAGCAGCGGCTGGGGAGAGTGGGTGGGTGCCTGCCAGGCACTCTGACAAGACGTTTGGCCAGCTGCGTATCTACCCTGTGAGCCAGCCAGGCTCTCCTGGGATCAGCCATGTGAACTGACTGAACACCAGTTCCCAACCAACAAGAACCAGACACAGAGCAGAACTAGGAGCAGACACAGCGCAGGCACTAGGACACAAAGGTTTCCACTGAGCTTTGTGAGGAGAACGCTGCTCAAGCTGCCACAGAGCAGCGGGGTGGAGCTCAGCAGGAGCTCAAAGCTAAAGCAGGCAGCGCCTCAGGAGCTGAGCGCAACACAACCACAAGGGGTACCAGGGCAGCAGCCAGGGTCATCTGTGGGTAGAGGGAGACAGCACATACACTGACCAGGGGCAGCTATGGGAGAGGAGTAAGCCTCTGTCAGCATGAACCACTGTACTTGGGGTCCATGTAACCCTCTCTGCACATAAGCGGAGCTGGGCCTAACAATCTGGGCACACCCGCCTGCCTCCCGGAGGCCTGACCTGGGCTTGCAGATTCGGCTCCAGACGCAACAAGCACCCAATCTGGGTAGTTTTGGTGTGTATGATGCCAGCACCCACAAAATTTGCAGGATTGGGGTCAACTTCCTCAAGGAGTGCAGAACCAAATCCAATAATCTGCTCAGAAGAAGAGAAGGGGTCAGGACGCTGGCTGGCACTGGCCCATGGGCCCCCTGCCTGGAGGACCTTCCCGCACAACCCTTTACCTTCGCTTTAGTGATCTCTGTATCCATGGGATGCTTTGCTTTGAAAATGTTTTGCACTTCTTGTTGTGGACTGTGAGAAACAGCACCCAGGGTGAGTACGGGGGCCAAGCGAGAGGCACGCGGACTGTCCTATACAGAGGCCCTGCCCCCCCACCCTGCCCTCTCACTTGCTCAACTGCTTCCAGCGCTGAAAGAAATCCTGAGAAGCCATTTCTGTGGGCTGGAAAAACTTGTTGAGTGTGATGGGCAGCTTAACGGAGACATTCTGGAATGTGCCGCCATACCTGCAAGCACAGAGAATAACTGGAGACCCAGAAATTCAGTTGGAAAATCGTCGGGGCACCAGGACGGGCCAAGGTACCCCACCGCGTGCCATACAGGGTGCCCTCAGCACTGTGTCCCCAGAGCCGAGCCTCCACCCAACGCACCAAGGACGGTCTGTGTCCAGTGACATGCACAGACCAGCAAAGCTGGGGCTGCCGCTTCATCTGAGTCCGGAGGCCAAGCTCCGCTCTCAGCCCAGCCCCTTGGGCAAACGAAGACCTAGACAGGCCCTACACCACCACCTCCACCCACCCCCACTCTGCTTTTCCCCAGGTGTGCAAGACGAGCCTTCCTCACCTAGGCCAGTGTCAGGAGAAAGTCAGTCACCACCACCCTGCAGCCGTCCTTCGGAGCCAGCCCAGCGGACCCACGAGGACTAGCTGCCCAGCCCAGAGCGGGGAGCGAACGTCCTCAAGTCGGAAACGCCCTCGCCTGCAAGCCCCACAGGGCAGGGAGACCCCACAGGCAAGGTGGTACCGCACCAGGCCATGGCCAGCTTCCTACCCCTCCCGCCACAGGCAATTGGAGCCTGCTGTGTGGGTTCGCCGAGATGCAGCGACACGCTCTCAGGAAAGACATGGAACTGACAGAGCCAGGCAGTGCCCACAGGCTCTGCGCACCGAGGACGCGCGCACAGCTCTCACCTGAACTGGAGGTTGAGGACCGGCGCCTCCGTGAAGTCAGACAGGCACTCGATGTTGACTGCCTGCTGCACCTGCGCACCCCCGTCCACAGTGGGGTCCACAGGCTTGGTCTGCAGCTTCAGATGTGAGCTGTTAAGGGATCCAGATCACGCAGGGTGCGGGCCCAGCCCCACTGCCCCTGCCTCCCACCAACACTACTGACCAAGGCTCAGGACCACAGCCAGCCCTGCCAGAACAGAGCCGGCACGGCACCCGGCCAGCTTACACACCGACTGCCTGCCTTGTCTTGGCTCTGTGCCCATAGGCTCTGGCACTTACACATGGATTGCTGTTGCTCTCGGGAGAAACCAGAGCTTGTTTACTATAAGGGTTGGGAGAACCCCTGGGTTCTGCGTGAATCAGAGTCTGCCTTGCTCTGAGTATGGTGCTTGAAAGCAGCCAACACAAGACTCTTAGTGATGTCCCTGCAAACAAGACCCAGGAGACCTTTCCTGGGTACATCCTATGCCCATCAGCCACACACTGCCAGGCTCTGCGCCACCCCCTGTCCCACAGAGTCCAGTGATTCCCAGAGAAGAGGACACACAGAAAGTGGCTGTGTGTGCAGGAACTTACATACCAGTCCTGCATGTGTGTGTGTTTGTTTCCACTGTGCCTGTGCTGGGGGGACAAGCTCTCTATCACTGAGCTACAGACAGTTCCAATCATCCGCACCGAATGAACAGGGAGCTGCCCCTTACAGAGCCGACTGTTTCACTCTCCTGGGGTCATGAGCCCAAGGGGGAGCATCCCTCTCGGCTGAGCTGCACTGGAGGAAGACATCTCTGGGAGGAAGTGCAGCGGACTCCAGCTGTCTCCTTCAACTGAAGCCTTCTACTGGTATTCCTAATGACCTCCAAGGGATCAGTCTTTGGTGTAAACAAAGGGTTGCTAGAGTGAACAGAAGCCCAGGTTTGTCACCAGATGCTCGCGCTACTCACCTGAGGGACTTCACACAGGGGGCCAGAGCTCATCACAGAACAAGAAAACAAGCTAGAAAGCAAATGACTCCATAGGCTAGATAAAAGCAGACATACATACACAAATGATGTTCAATGCATCATCCAAAGTCAATTCTCAAGTACAAACGCGTACATAATTTTACTGACCACCTAGAAATAACTTGCCACTTGGACCAAGATCAATTCTCTTCAAAGCCTCCTCTGAATCCTATTTGCTGCCTATCTATGTGTCTGTGTCAGTCTGGGCCTGGGCAGAGAGCCAAGGATATTAGCCTGAAGGTCGTCTGCACAGATCAGTGTTGGAGTGAAGTTTAAGAACTGCGTGGAGGTCTTGTTACCATAAAATATGAACATCCGCCCTAGAAAAAAAACAAAAGCTGTTTATTTCACCATGTCTCCACAGTATATCCCCTGAAGCCTCCAAGTAAGTTGAGTTCTTATGATGCATACCTGTTTCTAAAACTAAGAACTTCTCATTACCTGACTTAGAAAACAGACCCTTAGTAATAACAATAAATTATTTTCAAATACATATATATATATGAACAATTTTTTTAGCTTTAAAAATAGCAGGCCAGTTGGCATCTACCCTGAGCAACAGGAACCAGGATACAAGGACACGTGCACCTCCATGTTCACTAGAGCACTGTTCACAATAGCCAAGATGTGGAAACAACCCAGATGCCCCGCTACAGATGAATGGATCAAAAAACTGTGGTACCTATACACAATGGAATATTATGCAGCCATTAGAAAGGACAAAATAATGGCATTCGCAGGGAAACGGATGGAACTAGAACAAATCATGTTGAGTGAGGTAAGCCAAGAGCCAAATGGCACATGGTCTCCCTGATATATGGGTGTTAAATCCAAAATGCAAGGAGATACAACAAAGTAAACAGGACTCCAGAAACAAAGGTCATTGCTAAGTGACCCCACGCTGCTGCCCACACATATGGCTGGGGGGGGGGGTCTGTGTGTGCGTGTGTGCTCACATCTGCACACACACACATCTAGGGAAGCCAGGGGGAGGCACAGAATCAGAAGGAAACAGAAAATTACAGCAGAGGGGCCCGTCAGCTGCACTGGACACTGATGAAAATGAACTAAGCAACTCAAGGACAGCGATGGGAGGGAGGGAGGGAGAGGGAAAGAGGAGCTGCTGATGCTAAGCAAAAGGAAAGAAATGTACACACCACCTGATTGGAAGAAATTATATTGTATTATCAAAGCTCACACAATTCACAAACTGTATAGACCACAATAATTACAATTTGCCTTGTGAAGGTTAAAATGTGTGACTTTAACTGAGTATCACTATCTCACAACACTGTGAAATTTATGTAATCACTTAAGCACAATAAAAAATTATTTTTTAAAAAATAGCATGCCAGCCGGGCGCTGGTGGCTCACGCCTGTAATCCTAGCTACTCAGGAGGCTGAGATCTGAGGATCGCGGTTCAAAGCCAACCCGGGCAGGAGAGACCGTGAGACTCCTATCTCCAATAAAAACCACCAGAAAACCGGAAGTGGCGCTGTATGTAGCTCAAGTGGTAGAGCGCTCGCCTTGAGCTGAAGAGCTGAGGGACAGCGCCCAGGCCCAGAGTTCAAGTCCCACGACCGACAAAAAAAAAAAAAAAAAAATAGCATGCCAGCTGGGCGTTGGTGGCTCACGGCTGTAATCCTAGCCTCCTCTCAGGAGGATTGTGGTTCAAAGCCATCCCGGGCAAGAAAGTCTGTGAGACTCTTATCTCCAATAAACCACTAGAAAACCGGAAGTGGCACTGTGGCTCAAGCGGTAGAGCACTGGCCTTGAGCTGAAGAGCTGAGGGACAGCGCCCAGGCCCAGAGTTCAGGCCCCACAACCGACAAACATAAACATAAAAACAGCATGACAGCTGGAAACAGGAAGTTGTCTCTCCAGCCTCCCGGTGCCTATCTCCAGGCCGCCCATGCTCTCAGAGCAGGGAGAGGCAGGGAGAGCTACAAATGACAAGCTTGGAGGGTCAGCTGACACTGGCAGATCTGCTTCCAGGGATCTTCTCAGGACCACAGCCACACCTGTCTTCCCTATACCAGCATCAGCGAGACCACCCACATCCCTCCCCAAGGGAGGCCTGGCTGAACCACATTCACAGCCAGCCTGGTACTGACGCTGCCCAGGCAGGCCAGACCCACACGCATGGACCCTTCACTGTGGCCATCAGCCCTCCACAAGGCCATGCTCAATGCCTCACTGTTCTAGCTAACCAGGCAGTGATGCCTTCACCCAGTCTTAGTGGATACTTTTATCCTTTAAGTTCAGAAAGGAAACTAAGCTGAGCATTGGTGGCTCATGCCTGTAATCCTAGATACTCAGGAGGCTGAGATCTGAGGATCAAAGTTTGAAACTAGACTGGGCAGAAAAGTCCCCATGAGACTCTTTTATCTCCAATTAACCACTCAAAAAAGACTGCTGTGGCTCAAAGTAGTAGAGTACTAGCCCTGGGTGAAAGAGCTCAAGGACAGTGCCCAGGTTCTGAATTCAAACCCTACAACTCAGAGGGAAAGAAGGGGATGGAAGGAGAGGGAATAGGGGAGGAGAGGGAAGAAGGGAGGAGAGAGAGGGAGGGGGCG